CAATTTTGGGTATGTTTGTTTTTTTGAAATTTCGCGGGTGTGCGCAATTTTAAAGCTTGACATGTTTGGTGTCTATTTACCCGACATGACCCCATCTTTTATATTTTGCCAAAAAATTGGGTAATAATAATTGCCTCCTAACATAATGTAAAAAAACATTTTTTTCCCAACATTTTCAGTAATTTTTCCTTAATGTAGTAAAAAATAAAACCCGTATTTGCGATTAAATACCGCCAAAAGAAATCTGTCCCCAAAAAATGGTATAACATTCATTTCAGTACTGCATGGCATGATGGAATAAATGTCAGTCAAAGTACCGCAGCGCTGAATACTGAAAAATGGCCTGGATGGGAAGGGGGTGTAAACACCTGGTCAGCAAGTGGTTAATAAGGGGGTGGAGAGAGAGACAGCAGACAGTGAAGGGCCACTGGTGGGCCGGTTATTATGACTGCTGCCTAACCCCGGCTCTCCTCCTCACATCATGTAATTGTGTGTTACCAGCCAGGAGACGTGCCCAGTCTCCCCCACACACACTCTCTCTGGGGTCTCTCATACATCTCAGTACAGGGTCTCCCCCCACACACACTCTCTGGGGTCTCTCATACATCTCAGTACAGGGGGCCTCACTCTCATCTTTATTCACAGACCCCGGAGACACCAGGGACCCCCAGATTCTCCTTGTTCAGTCACTATAGCAATCTCTTCTCCCCCTCCTCAGTCAGTAGACAGTAATGGGGGGACGGAATGTGTTTAGTGGGGGGAGTCAGGAGCCATCAGCTTCTATTAGACTCCGGCTCTCCTCCTCACATCATGTCATTGTGTGTTACCAGCCAGGAGACGAGACCAGTCTCCCCCCCCCCACACACTCTTTGGGGTCTCTCATACATCTCAGTACCGGGTCTCCCCCACACACACACTCTCTGGGGTCTCTCATACATCTCAGTACAGGGGGCTTCACTCTCATCATCATTCACAGACCCCGGAGACACTCGGAGTGACCTCAAAGCTGAGGAGGAGGAAGAAGAAGAACATGTGAGGATTAAAGAGGAGGAAGTTCCGCCGGAGAGCAACAGAGGTGAGGAATAACCATTACATCGAGAAAATCATCCCAGATCCCATCTCCTTAATAGATTTGCTTGTGCCCACATGGGGCATTCATCACCAAAAACACGTTCAAATGCCAAATTTCCCCCAAATGCTGTGACCATCCAAAGTCCACTGGAAGGGGGAAGTAAATGTGGTCATTTTGTCAAAAGCAAACTGACGAGGCGCTGCTATCTATGTTGCGTTTCTTCCAGTTGGATCCCCCGGGGAACAGAGAGGAGCCCAAAACCTTATGAGAAGACTTTGCAATGGACAGGAGTATTGTTTCAGGATTTGGGCTGCTCTACGTTCCCCGGCAATCCTTCTGAAGGGACGGCACCCTCACCCCCAGCAATGCGGAAGACGAGGGGTAACGTGGGTTCCGCTTTATCCTGTCTTCTGCTGCATACTGACCTTGTCCTGTGACAACAGTTTGCAGCACTGAGATCCTGGGTCCATGATGACCTCCCTCAATGCGAGGAGCCATCAGCCTCTATTAGACTCCGGCTCTCCTCCTCACATCATGTCATTGTGTGTTACCAGCCAAGAGACGTGACCAGTCTCCCCCACACACACTCTCTGGGGTCTCTCATACATCTCAGTACCGGGTCTCCCCCCCACACACACTCTCTGGGGTCTCTCATACATCTCAGTACAGGGGGCTTCACTCTCATCTTTATTCACAGACCCCGGAGACACTCAGAGCGACGTCAAACCTGAGGAAGGGACACGAGTGAGGGTAGAAGAGGAGGAAATTCCTATAGAAGTTGGCAGGGGTGAGTAGTAAAGCCAATGATTGTGATGGTTTTGAAACTTGTCTTGTATTGGATGCCATCACTGCTGTCTGAGGGCTCAGAAACGCACCCGTCACTTCCTGTCCCGGTGATAGCGTTGTCACCCAAATAGGAAGTAAAGGGAAATCTCCAATGAGTAGACAACCATATCAAGCTGCTGGGAACTCTAGCGTTTCCTTGCTATGCTGAAATCACTGGGGGAGATTTATCAAAACTGGAGCAGTTGCCCGTGGCAACCAATCGGCTTCTCTCTTCAATTTGTTCCGTTTAGATTTGAAAATGAAAGAGAGAAGCTGATTGGTTGCCATGGGCAACGGCTACAGATTTTTCCTACCCCAGTTTTGATAAATCCCCTTCAGTGTTTTTTTTTAGATTTTCCCCTCACTTCCTATCCTGGTGTCACGTCTCCAAGACAGGAAATCACCTCAAAGGAGCCACAGAGATCAGTAACAGAGCAGTGACGAAGGTTCTTACCATCCCCTTCTCCATCCTGTGATACATGTAATCAATGTGTGATCTGTCTTTTCTTACAATCTTATACAACCCCATAGCATGTTACTCTTTACTTGGTGGATTGATATAGTGCTGACATATGTAGTAGTGCTGTACAACATACCTAGATCTATCCCTATGCATCCTGGTCTCCAAAGAAACTGACAATCCAATGTCCCCACACACACACACACACACACACGCTAGGACCGGTTTGGGTGGATGCCGATGAATCTACCAGTATGTATGTTCCTTACAGGCAGGCTCAGTAACAGTAATACACCAGAGAGATGTCCCAGTCCTCTGGATTCCCAGGATTCTACGGAGGAAGATGATGGACAGGATTACCAGGTAGGCGGAGATGGGGGTCCTGTCACTTACACAGCGTGCAATGAGGTGAAGATCCATTCTTTTGATTATTTGCATCTCCTGAAAGCTTACAGCCCTGATAAAGGGAGGAGTCCGTAACCTGAAGCGTGTTGGGACTTTTTATCGATGAATGGACTTTCTTAGACTTTGCTATTGTTCTGGCGCTGTCTTTGTTCTGTGTTTTATATATCTCACCTAAAGGTGGCCTTTCGGGGCTTCTGGGTCACCTTCTGGCTCATCCACTTTGAGTTGTGGCACCCCGGGGCCTTATCGAAGGTGACTGGTCCTTCTGATCTGGGACTACAGATCCCACACCTTCCAATATTGGCATGGCAGCCCGTTGTCATGCTTAAACCCCAACTCCAGGCCCAAAGCAGCTTCGGCAGAGGCGTATCTATAACAAATTGCTCCCCTGGCATCCCGTCCGGTGACGTTACTGGTTGCTAGGGGCTGGGCGGGATGCCGCCAGAGAGTCCCAGGTTACTAAGGGCCATACACATCTACCCACCTGGCTCCTAGCAACCTGAGATGCTCTGGCTGGTGTCCTGGCCACATACCCTGCTCTGGTTGCTGAGAGCCAGGGGGTGGGATGTGTATGACACTTAAGTATCTCCCAGCCTGCCTCCTAGCAACCTGGAATGCTCTAACCTGCGTCCCACCTAACAACCAGGGACGCCCTGGTTACCAGGAGCTGGGTGGGACGCCGCCCAGTGTCCCTGGTTGCTAAGAGCCAGGCTGGGAGGTGGGTGACGAGACACAAAAAGTCAGCTGACTCCGTGGATTGGCAAACTTGCTGACCCACCGGAGCAGCGCCCCCCCCTTCAAGTTGCACCCAGGGCATGTGCCATACCCTGGATACCCCTCTGAGCTCAGGCTAATACTTACCTCCTCCCTGGAGCTGTCCATGCATTAATCCCTTCTCGCCACAAGATGTCCTCAGGTCCTCCAGAGTGAAAGATGCCAAATGTCATTCAACACTGGAAGACTGAGATCTCGGGAGTACATTGACCCGCCCCCGAGGAACGCTAACTTCATCAAGTCATTAAAATAACGTCATATGTTCATATTGGGTTAAGGTGACCCCCACCCGGAATGTTAGTCCTTTGAATCCAGGTCCGACCATGCATAGGTGGTCTTTACAGCAGTTGGGGAATATTTTGGTGTGCACATTTCTACAACCTCCGGGGAAGGAAAAAGGCGGGGCATAATGTAATCATACTTGGGGACACATATAGATCTATAGACTCCTCTTCCGCTGTCCTTCTTCCATGGTTTGGGGTTCAGAATGAAGTCGGTGGGCTCAGTCCTGACACAGCATTTTTGTATTGTTTTATATTTCAGGACACAAGTCTGGTTACTATTGTAAAAGTGGAAGTGAAAGAGGAAGCGTATGAATCCTATGTGAGCGGCGATGACCAATGTAAAGAGGAGATTCCTCCCGAGATCAGCCGAGGTGAGGAATGAAGGCCGGCCTTAGGAAAGGTTCACAGCTCCTGGCTTCTTCTAAGTCTTGGATCCTCCAACAGTGACATCTTCCTGACTCTGCTCCTGTCCACCTTTGTGTGTCCCGGCTCCTCCTGTTACCTTCTCCATAATATAAATCCAACAGACATGGTGGGGGCCCCTCATAATGGGTACAGCAGGTGTACAGACCCGGGAACTCAGCACAGGGATGGTGGGAGCTCCTCACAATGGGCACAGCAGGGGTACAAACCCGGGAACTCAACACAGGGATGGTGGGAGCCCCTCATAATGGGCACAGCAGGTGTACAGACCCGGGAACTCAGCACAGGGATGGTGGGAGCCCCTCATAATGGGCACAGCAGGTGTACAGACCCGGGAACTCAGCACAGGGATGGTGGGAGCCCCTCATAATGGGCACAGCAGGTGTACAGACCCGGGAACTCAGCACAGGGATGGTGGGAGCCCCTCATAATGGGCACAGCAGGTGTACAGACCCGGGAACTCAGCACAGGGATGGTGGGAGCCCCTCATAATGGGCACAGCAGGTGTACAGACCTGGGAACTCAGCACAGGGATGGTGGGAACCCCTTATAATGGGCACAGGAGCCTGTATTCTCCTTCCTTCATTTTTTGTTCCCAGATGGACGATATATCAGGACCAGCAGGCAGCAACACCCCGCCGCCTCCCTGGATGGCGACCCAGATGACGACATCACATCCGACTCCTCAGAGGAAAACCCCATTTCCTCGACTCTCCAGGAATGCCACAGCTCGGACTTATCCTCCGACCCCTCGCAGACCAAAAAGCTGTATTCGTGTTCCGAATGCGGCAAATGTTTCCTCCGCAGATCTCGTCTTCTGAGGCATCAAACCATTCACACGGGAGAGAAGCCGTTCTCGTGCTCCCAGTGCGGGAAATGTTTCACCCAGAAAGGAGGCCTCGCCCGCCACGAAATCACACACGTAGAGAAGAAGCCGTATGCATGCAGCGAGTGCGGGAAGCGCTACAGTCAGAAGACCTATCTGGCCGTCCATCAACGGAGTCACGCGCCCGAGAAGCCGTTTTCCTGCTCGAAGTGCAGCGAGCGCTTCGCCGACAAAGAAACTCTTCTGGCCCATCAAAATACTCACAAGGGCCAAAAGCCGTTTTCCTGTTCCGAGTGCGGGAAATGGTTCTCTTACAAATCGCTTCTCGTTAGGCACGAGCGAATCCACACGGGCGAGCGGCCTTACTCGTGTTCCGTGTGCGGGAAAGGATTCATCGATAAGCAGGGACTGGTGACTCATCAAAGTACTCACTCCTCTGACAGGCCATACTCGTGCCCCCAGTGCGGGAAGAGCTTCACCAATAAGTCAAACTTGGCCGGACACCGAAGAATCCACACAGGGTATCAGCCCTATTCCTGCTCCGAATGTGGGAAACGGTTTTCAAAGAAATACACGCTCATCAAACATCAGAAGCTTCACAAGTGACCTGGGGTGCGTGGGTGGGGTTGTTGATTTTAAAATGGAGGAAAGGAGGCCCTTCAGAAGTCATTCCACCTCCTTCAGGTCATCATAACCACTCAACTCCAGCCAAACTTTTGTTTTGAGTCGCAAAGAGTTTATACCCTTATTTTATTTTGCTGTCGGCAACCCCTATGGAGAGATTTCCCTTTATTTCCTGTCCAGGAAACACAACAGGAAGTGAGGGGAAACCCTCTCTAAGACAGTTGTCATGAGGACAAGGGTCACATTAGACAATTTCTGTTCTTCTTAGTCTTCCTGTCCAGGAGAACCAGCAGGAAGTGAGGGGAAACCCTCTCTAAGACAGTTGTCATGAGGACAAGGGTCACCATTGGACAATTTGTGTTCTTCTTAGACTTCCTGTGCAGGAAACACAACAGGAAGTGAGGTGAAACCCTCTCTAAGACAGTTGTCATGAGGACAAGGGTCACCATTGGTCAATTTGTGTTCTTCTTAGACTTCCTGTCCAGGAGACACAGCAGGAAGTGAGGGCAAATCCTCTCTAAGACAGTTGTCACCAGAACAAGGGTCACCATTGGACAATTTTTTCCTCTATTCCTGTTCTGGTGACAGCCGTATATTTTTGGATTTCCCATCACTGTCTCTCGCGAATACAGTAAAGATGGTGACTCCTCCACCATACAGACTGCAATGACAACCTGATGAGGTTCTAACTCTTCTGCACACCATTCAAATCTGAAAACAGTGACTACATACACTCTAAAGCTGGATTTTTAATGTACTTATGTTTCCCCTCCCCCCTCATCAACATGCTAATGTTTTTTAAATAAAATATTTCCATTTTTATTACATATCTTAATTTAGACCCAGTGACATCATCACTGGGTCTCTGTGCTTCTCTATACAATGAGGGTATTATACAATGCGGACAGATCATGTATGGTGGGAGGGGCCGGCAGGGTGCTGTACAATGCAGGCAGATCATGGCTGGTGGGAGGGGTCTGCAGGGTACTATACAATGTAGGCAGATCATGTATGGTGGGAGGGGCAGGCAGGGTCCTGTACAATTTTGGCAGATCATGGCTGGTGGGAGGAGCCGGCAGGGTGCTGTACAATGCAGGCAGATCATGGCTGGTGGGAGGGGCCGGCAGGGGGCTGTACAATGCAGGCAGATAATGTCTGGTGGGAGGGGCCAGCAGGGTGCTGTACAATGCAGGCAGATCGTGGGAGGGGCCGGCAGGGTGCTGTACATAGCTTCTGGATAACATCACAGCACCATGTCTCGGTATTCCTGCCAAGAGCCCTCAGCTCTGATGCAAGTAGTGGGCTGGCTCTTGGGAGGAGTTATGTAATTGTCTTGATGGATGTCAGTCTGTATGAGTGGCGGTTCCCAGGCAGGCTGTATTGGCATGCAGACTGCCCTAGGTAAAGCCCTCCATGATTGACAGAACTAAAATCCAAAGAGAGAAAGGGGCGGGGCCAGGGACATTCAGGCTGGGGAGGAAAGCACTAGATGATGCTGAATGGATCTGATCCCCAGCTCAGATGTGCTTCTCAGTGGTCAACATGGTAATGTGTCAGTGCTGACCAATGAGCGTCCACCATTTGCGAGCACTATGATCATTACACACTTCAGAGCTGTGACGTGCGGTGTATGGCTGGAGGGGGTGACACAAGTACAGCGGAAACTGTGGAAGGTGGCAAAGGGGGTGCAGTAAGCTCACCCCCTCCACCCATCAGTCACCTCCCTGTCTATTTCTCCATTGCCACTGGTATAGGAAGTGATGGGAAATCATAAATGTTGCAGTTGTCACTGGAACAGGAAGTGAGGGGAAATCTCCCAATGGGCACCCCTGTTCTGGCCGTGAAAAGGTTTTTTTTTTTCCATTTGGATACACCTCTCACTTCCTGTTGTGTCTCCGGGACAGCGACTTGCACCCATTTCTTGCCCAACAAGTCCTAGAAAAGTGTATCATTGTCTTTGTTCCCCGGCTCCGTTTTGCTCTGTAATGATGATAATGGGGGTGATTGTTCTGAACAGATGTGACCAGTTCACCCCACAGGGGGCCACTGTGGTCATAACACTTCACGGGCACATTCTTGGCTCAGCCAGCCTATGATAGCTGGTTTCTCTGCCTCTCCTCCAATCAGCATGCTCCTCACACTGCAGCAAGTCTGATTGGCTCCTTGTACTGTTTTCCCATCCCCAGTCTGAGCTCTGCTGTACAGGCACTGAGAGAGGCTGACACCGGGTCACATTCAGGTATATACACGGCTGCCACGGAGCCGGCCTATAACGCATGGCTGGGAAGGAGGAGCAGGAGGGCTAAGCCTTTGTAGTGTCCATGTCATGGGATCCGTGCACAGGTGTCCCCACACCATATGCAGGTACCCACACAGGAAGACAAAACATATGACCACACCGGACAAGGCAAAATGTGTTATATACAGTTTATTTGTAACCAGCAAAACCAAATGAAACACCCAAAAGCAAACACGAATAAGTAATGTGACCCCCCCCCCACCACCCAATATAACCCCCGACACCTATAACATATAACAAGAGCAATAATAGCTATATACAGGTAACAGCAACAGGACTACAAGCAGGTAATGGCAACAGGGCAACAAGCAGGAATCGGGACTGCAAACAGGTAACAGGGCTCCGGACTGCAAACAGGTAACAGGGCTCCGGACTGGTAACAGGACAACAAGTAGGAATCAGGACTGCAAACAGGTGACAGGATACTGAGCCATCGTCCTGACTGCAGGGAGGGTTTAAATATCCTCCCAGGAAGCACCAGTTGATGGCTAAGTGCTGGCAGCTGGGAGACACCCGCAGGTGAGCACTGGAGCTGCAGGTGAGCACTGGAGCACCACCCAGTGGTAGTCTGGTACCTAACAGTTCCTGGCTGCCTGGAGACACCTGCAGGTGAGCACAGGAACTGCAGGGCTTAGCTCCAGCGCCACCTGGAGGCGCTCTGGATCCTAACAGTCCTCCTCTGCTCCTCCCAAACCATCAGATTTCATATCTAAGAATATAGTTGAATATTCAAGCACAATAGTGTCTGATAACCCCTAAATGAATGTGCTTCATCAAATTAGCTTGTCATGTGTACCAATCATTACCCAGGTGCGGTAATGCGGCTTGTCAGGCCTCTGACCATCGTGACCCACCCATAATTGATATGTGTGGATTTCTTTTCTGGATGTGTGGATTTTTTAGCCAATTTTGACTTATGAAATTTGGGTTGATTTTGGAACTCTCGGTTTTATGACTCAGTGGAGTGCGAGTTCATCGGGGGTCATTATCCTGTCCAGACCCTCTTGTGTTTACCTAAATCCGATTTATTGGTGATTTGCACTTATGCTTTGGTTGACTTTCATAAGGGGCAGCCATTAAGTGGTTAGGAGGGCAGAACTGATACCTCACGTAGGTAATTAGTCCTAAGGACCGTAAAGATCAAAGGTCAGATTTGCCGACATCTGTTTTTTGGATTGTGGAGATGTCTGGCAAGATTAGGGCGGCCTGAGGTCACTGGAACTGAATTGAAGGTTCCAGGGGAGAGTTAATATTGATATGCTGAAACCTCATTATCCTCCCAGGTGCAGAAGCACATTCCAGACCTTGTAAAGGTGGCCATACACTCTACAACCATCGCAAGACTTTAGTCTTGCGATGGTTGTAAAGGGATTAAAAAAACGTACGATCTGCCTATCTTGGACAGGCAGATCGCACTCTTGATCATCGCAAGCCCGCCCCCCTGAGGGGCGGGCTTCCGATGACCGCAATGCTGAACGGGCAGTGTGCGCGTGCGCACACCGGCCCGTTCAGCATTTATCTTCCGAGCACCGTTCTAACCAGCCGAGAATCGTACGATTCCCGGCTGGTTTTCGAACATGCTGGTTCGACAGAAGACGTGCGCCCGTACAGTAGAAACGTCTCCGTTCACACTGCTCGATTATCGTACGAAAACCCGATCGCATACGATTATCGTACGATAATCATGCAGTGTATGGGCACCTTTACTGACAGCCTGGTGAGCGGTCAGTTTCTGCAGGGGCGGACCTACCAGTGGTCCCCGGGCAGCCCCCAGTGTTCCAGGACGCATCCCTGGTATAAGAAGATGGAGGTGGGTGGCAATAAAAAAGAGAACCTGTCACAATGTAGCAGATATAAGACCATGGAGGTGGGTGGCAATAAAGGGAGGACACAGGGACATAGTTCCTCATAGGTAAGTGGAGGACACGGGGACATAGTTCCTCATAGGTAAGTGGAGGACACAAGGACATAGTTCCTCATAGGTAAGTGGAGGACACAGGGACATCGTTCCTCTTAGGTAAGTGGAGGACACGGGGACATAGTTCCTCACAGAGGACCTGAGTTATGAGGGGAGGGAGGGTTTAAATATCCTGCCAGGAAGCACCAGGTGATGGCTAAGTGCTTTCAATTTAAAATAGCCAATAGTAGTCTGGCTATTGCTCCTGGCTGCTTACATCCACCTGTCGCCTGCGGTAGCTAGCCAGCAGGAGCAGGGGCGTAACTAGAAATCACAGGGCCCCATAGCAAAATTTTGTATGGGGCCCTGTGATTTCTAGTTATACCCCTTGCAGAGCCCACTCGAGATCCCACCTGAGGGTGACCCTGCAGAGCCCACCATAGACTCTCTATGGTGGGCTCTGCAGTATCACCCTCAGGTGGGCTGGTCGCATTCCTTACCTCCTCCATCGCCGGGCCCGCCTCCTTCTTTGTCAGCGAGGCCGCCTCCTCCCCTGCTGCCGAGCACGGGCCCGCCTCCTCCTCCACTGCCGGTGAAGTCAGAGGCTCGCGACGTTGATAGAACACCGGGTCCAGCCTGCTCCCCCGCTGCTGCTGGCTCTCATTGACTGTGGAGACGAATGCGCCGCTGCACAGATGATCTGAACAGCGCCGTGTTCGTCTTCAGATGCCAGTGAAAGCCACCAGCAGAAGATCCCATAGCGACCCAGGCGGCCCGCACGGCATCTGGCCGGGCCCCACTGTGCCCCGGGCCCCATAGCGACCGCCTGGGTCGCTATGCTGATTGTTACGCCACTGAGCAGGGAATTGTGCCGTGGGTGG